AAGCGGCCAATGAGTGAAGGTACAAAGGTACAAAGGTATATAGTGTTTCTAATAAAGTGCAGAAACAAAGCAAAAGGGAGCTACACTGAGCAGACTGTTCAGTATTGCTCACTGCTCTGGGAAGGCAGATGAAAATTAGCCATTTGGCTAAATATGGCTCATTTACATCATAAAGCAATGATGTTGATTAGTGTACATTGTTCCTATTTGTAAAATAAACCAATAAAGTAAGCAAAGTGAAATAAAGCTAATACCACAGAGAGGAACATGTGTGAACAAACATGTCTGAGGCCTAGGATCTATTGGTTGTGTAACTGTGGTTAATTTGGGTGTTGGTAATAGAGCCAACGTCAGTAGCAATCCATTTTCTTAAAAGCGCATGAATGGCAGCATGAAACGAGGCTTCACAGGGGCTCCGCAAGTGGTGAACAATAGTGTGAGTCTGTTTGTGGATTCCCCGCTGCGGGTGCGTGTGTTGGCACCAGCTGGCTCATGCCGCAGCAGCTAGAGGAGTCAGGGGGTCCTGTTTGATTTGGCTCGGCATTAATAAGTTCTCGCTCATTGGCTGCGGAAATTACAGAAATAGCAATTAAGGAAATGGAATGATTTTATTGGCTACAGTGTTTACATGCTTGCAGATGTGAGGCAGCTGTACTACAGGGGCGTAGCCAGCCTACTGAAGAGGGTGGGTCTTTTTCCCTGAAAAGTGGACCTCCACAGGGGAGTTTACATAGGTCAGACTTTGACTTGATGTTACTATTACATTATTAGCCAAACCAATCAGGTGGGCCTTCCACTATCCACCACATAATCTACATTGCATAAATATCACAAGATTTTTTCACTGAAATATACAGATTCCTTCACTGAATTACAGCATTTTCTTTAGATTGTACTGAGTGAATTTCAGTGACTTTGCACAAAAAAGATTAGAGGTAGGAATAAACCCACCTCCTTTCCTTAATTTTGAAAACAATTGTTCTATGTTCTGCTTTAGTGTTCATTTTTTTTATTGTTGATTGCCCTTTTTATTGTCTACTACACATTGTTGCACCAGCTGTCAGTAAATTGAAATCAATTTAATCAATTGATCAATAAGTTATATTTAGAGAAGCCCTAATGATTCATGAGCCATGCTTGTTGTATTTAAACGTTGAATGCATTGCATCAGTACTCTTATTTCATGAGGGTTAAATTCTTGAAATACCAAACAGAAAATTATCTAATCAGGAATTTTTCCCTCTTTGATACTTAGGTAGATACAGCCAAGTGAGCTCTCCCTTTGGCTAGGACTTAGGGAGCTGAACTGAAGGCCTAATATCAGTCTACCCATTAATATAATGAGGCACTGACAGTAGAATCAACCAATCACATTCTAGTGAACAATGGGCTCTCTGGATGTTCTAGATACATCACTGACTGTGAGTACAAGTGGTGGACTGATTAAGGCATTTTAGTCAATTGAGTGACTGTAAAACAACAAGGTAAAATATATGTTCATATGTCTGTTACAGGCTTTTAAATAAAACATGGAATGTCTTTTACAAGCTTCAAATGCCTGTGTTTGATCCAGAATGGCCAAAAAAAGTGAATGTGAATCACTGTTAGTTTAGCAGTACTACTAGAATCCCATAGGGGTGCTAGCAGAAATTAGCATTATTGTAGAGGTGTTTTCTCCTTGTTTTTAATCAAGACATTTTTGGCCTGAACGGAAAGCCTAGCTCTAAAACTGATGGATCACTATGGGTAAAAACACTGGTTGGTATGTCAATGAAATATGTCAAAATTAGCATAGATCCTTAACATTTTTCACATTACATATGTAGGTCTATGCAAATCTGTCCATGCATTACATCATCATCCTTTAGGGTTCCAGTACGAATACAGACCTCTGAAGTCGTGTCATCAGTCTGTACTCAGTGTCCGGCCTACACTCTTAAAGTGATGCTTCTTCAGGGGCTCTTTAGTAAAGAGAAAGGTTCTATATAGAAACATGAGCACTCAAAGAACCCTTTGCATGATTTAAAGGTTCTTTGCATCTTGAAAGAATTCTTCAGACTGATGGAGACTGTGCCATAGATTTTTTAAAAGGTTCTATATAGCACCAAAAATGGTTCTTCTGTTGTTACAGGCTTGACATCGTAACTATAGAACCCTTATTGGTGCTATACAGAACACTTTTCAAAAACGTTCTATATAGAACCATATAAAACACATTCTCCATCAATCTGAAGGACACTTTCACGATTCTAAAAACCCTTTAATCATGCAGAGGGTTCTTTGAGCATTCATGGTTCTATATAGAACCTTTTTAAAAAAAGGGTTCTGTATAGCACCAAAAATGGTTCTTCTGTTGTTACAGGCTTGACATCATAACTATAGAACCCTTATTGGTGCTATACAGAACACTTTTCAAAAACGTTCTATATAGAACCATATAAAACACACTCCGAATCAATCTAAAGAACACTTTCATGATGCAAAGAACCCTTTAATCATGCAATGGGGTTTTTTAAGTGTTCATGGTTCTACATAGAACCATTTTCTTTGCTGAAGAACCCCTGAAGACCCATCCTTTTCAGGTGTGTATGTAAATCCAGGTCTAAGCTGGTTTTCTGTATGACAAAAATGAATGAGATTTTTGGAAAATCTGCATTGTCATGTCCTGTGGTGAACTAAAACGTTCCAAAGCTGATGTATTTTGCTATACAGACAATTTTTCTTTGAACTTAAATAGCTGAAATACAGCTACACACAAGCTAAAACTGCTGCGCACTGATATTGTAAAAATGGCAACTTCAACAAAACACCCCACGCAAATCAGCAAGCTTTGTCAACCATGGTAGTTTTGAAGCTTTGGTAGTTTTAGTCTGCAGTGTGAATAGCTGGTGTTGGAATATAAGAGTGGTGAAGTTTCATAGTAGATTTATTTTCATTTGTCATCATTTCTGTGTGCAGGAGCGTTAGCTTGCTTGTAGCATGTGTGTAGCATTATTTAAATTTAGACTCCTTAACAAGCTTGTAATTCAGAGGATCCACAGGACATGAAAGCGATGATTGAGACCAAGACTTCCTAACATGGGCGTAACGCCGACTACAGAATGACAACATGATTTCAGAGGCCTAGTACCATTATCCAAATAGCCTGTATGGAGTATATCACTGTTGTCGGAACAAAACCTTGCATCTTTACAGGAGAAGGAGAAAACATACTTTTAATGTGAGTCAATGGAACCAGATTTTTTTCAGAGTAATTTTGGGCCGTTTCTTTTCATCCATTCATCATGAATTTTGCACACAATGTAAAGAGCAACAGGCATTTTCAAATTATATCAAAAACTGAAAAATGTTGAAAATGGAGATACGAGGTTTTGTTCCCACAGCAGCGATATCTGGGCAGTTGTATGGACATTAATGATGTTCTTCTCTTTCCTTGTGTGCAGTGATGCGATGGTCCGAGCTGCTGGGAGTCGGTTTCTGTTGTGTTGTGTTTAGTTTTGCTTTCTGCGCTATGGCTGTGATGCTCCTCCATATGGTGTACAGTCAGACTGCATCAGTCCATTAGCGTTGCCTGTGATCTGGAGGCTGCTTTAATCTAACGCTGTAAACTCCACTTAATTACATCCTCCAAAAGAGCGCTCTTAATTATAACAACAATAATCCTGCAGGAAAAGGGGGCAGTTTGGTCGAAGGCAGCATGTTAGCGCTGTTGAAGGAGGGTAAGGGGATCATTGCTTGGAGTCTTTCAGTTGTGTTCATCTTTTCCACTTAGCCATTAACTGAAGTTAATAAACTGTCAAATTCATTCATTTCGTGCGCTTCATCACATGAATGTGGGCTTAACTGCTGTCTTTGCTCTGTAAACAACGTAATTTATGGGGAGCTAAAATTGGTAAACCACACTTAAAACTGAGACATAAAACTACTGCATACTGCACTTAAGGACGTTCTTTATAGTGACATTTTCCGGAACATGTTTGCAGCTACGACATCTTTTGAACATGTAGTTTACAAATAAAAGCAAAGAGTAACAGGAAAATCTGGAAGTCATTTAACTGTTATAATTATTATTACATTTATTTCTAGGGAAACAAATGCAGGTATGTTTGTATGTGTATATGTGTTTATGTGTATGGTGTAGATAAAAAAAAACAGCAACTTTTTCTTTTTCTTTTTTTTGGGGGTGGGGGAAGAATTTAATGTAAACATTGCCTAAATGTAAAAGGTTCTAAATGTAGCATTCACTCCCCAGTCCCTACAGTCCTCATATGGAAACTGAGCTACAAAACAGCCTGTTTTGCATTTGTTTTTTTGATGTCATGAAAAACCAAGACACACATATCTGCCTATTCAGTCTATAGCAGCCATTGCCAGGATAAAGAGAGGTTGAAAAATGGTCATGTACAAATGAATTTAGACTGTTTTGGTACATAAAACCACACTAATATCATAAGTAGGTAGAATGGAAAAAAATAAAAATAGCAAATTATGGACATTTAGTAAGAAATGTTCCTTCATTTTTGTAGTAAAGACATGTATTTAGTAAATTAGTGCATAGATAATGTCAAACAAATTGCCTTATTATTTTAAATTGCTTTAAAGGAGAAATTCATGGATTTTTCAAAAGTGCTCGTAACTTAATCATCAAAATCATTAAAACGGTTTTTGGGTGGAAAGGTGTATGCAGGGCATTGTGAGGCAATATAGTCTCCAAAGAAGAAGATATATCACTGTTTTACCATTATCAGAAGTGGCTTCAGTTTTTGATGTTAAATAAAATAGTTGCTATATTTGTGTTGTAGACATCGCAACCCTGGTCACCACCACTGTAAAGTCAAGTTTTTCGGCAAAGAATTTCACACCAAACCAATCTGAATGACTTTGTTTACATCTTTGCCATTGAATTATGCACAAATTTCGAGAAATCGGTGGCATTTCCCTTTGAGAGAGAGAGTAAGTTCAACACGCGGACCGTACAGGGTAGGAACTATCACGTGCAAAGGCAGATTTCACCCGGACTCGCGCAGTGTCGGCCCGCTCTCTGTGTTGTTGTGAAGAGGTCGATCATGGCGTCTGGCTCGGAGGTAAAAACATTACAGGAATCTCAACAAAACACGCTTTTCAGCCGCTCTCCCGGCTCTCTCGCGTTAGGTCTGTACTTTTAGGCCGGTCTAGTGTTGCTGAACGTTGAAAAATCCCTTTCTAGGATCTTCATTTTCCTCAGTTCGTGTTTTCGGGTCGGGCTGTTAGCTGAACGGGCTAACATTAACTTAGCTGAGCGTTTAATGAAATACAACAACGTAAAACTGGAGACAAACAAATATAACCGCTTAAACATTCTGTTAGACATTTAAACATAAATGATTTAAGCACCAGTGGCCTTAAATGTGAGGACAAAGTGGATGTTGTTCCTGCTGAAGATTTATGTAGCTATAAAACATTTTCACTGTGTTGAAGCCCTTTTCTGTCACTTAACCTCTTATTCTCCAGGGTATATTTCGGTTTGTCCATCTGAATTTACAGGACCAAATCGTATGGCAAATTATTTAGTGACTGCATGAAATAAATGTAAATTTTTATTTGATGTATTTGTTTATTTTTTGTAAAAACTCCCCTCAGATCAGTGTTTTATGATCACACATATTGCTATAGGCTTACAGTTTACTGTTGAAAGCCAAAAATCTTAGACACTCTTTGTAATTTTTTATAAAAAATAATTTTTACAGAGTATATCACTGAAGAGGCACCATCTGGGATCCAGTTTATAGCTCAGATTTGTGGAAAAATGGGTCGACTTTCAGTAGACAAATAAAATTGTGAGTTCAGTTTCTTTTATTCTAAGGGTTTAAAATTACATTTCCCATCTATCTGACTGGAAAGAAGACAGTTACAGCTCTCATATGACCCTTTTGAATGTAGCTTATGAAATATGAAAGTTATGAAGAATATGACAAAGTGCGTTTTGGAACCACTGGTGGTCCCAAGGAGTTAAAAAGGTTCAAATTTGTATAAAAATGATTTAATAATGAAGTGAATTGCTATGCCATTATTTTGTGAAACTAAGTCGTTCTTTTGAAGACATATGAGATGCTTTTTCATTATTTTGAGATGTCTTTATGCTTTTGAGATGAAAATGTAAATAATGAGAGTTTTTCAAAATAGTGAGAATGCATCTCAAAATAATAATCTCTGCAGTGACTTATGATGTCATTTATTCACTTAATAATGGAAAAAATTATAATTAGGTGGCAGATTTCCCATATTTATGTAATAAACCCATTTTTCTCTATGAACGAGTGCCTACTGCGGAGCCTTAGCTGTGTTCCCATCACAGAAAGCTGCTTGGGTTCCTTTTACTGGAGAACATGAATTTCATTCCAGAAACCTTTTCTAATTAGTGAATTAAGCTACTTCAAGGTTCACACATTGCTTATTAGAATTGCCACCCGTCCAGGTTTTTCGGCTGCCTAGACAGGAAAAAAAAATTGTTCCTGGACACAAAATGTCCAGACATCCAAGCAGTTTTGTATGTTAATATTTCTTATGAGGTTCAAGCTGCTTCTTTCTATCCAGTTAATAAACCATTTGTATATAAACACTGTAATAGATTAGTTTATATTACCTTCTATGTAGGGGCAGTTGTTTGGGGAAGGTACTGGTGACATATTTAGGCACTAGGCTGCACTTTAACACGATAACTGAGAAGATTAGGTTCTGTATCTAAACTGACATCTGTCTATTTATCTGTCTGTTGTGAGCATTGCTCCCTGTCCTATGAATTTAGTTAAAAAAAAAACTGATTGAGTGTCCAGGAATTTTTACAGGGCTGAGGTGGCAACACTATTGCTGACAAAGGTTTCATTTGCAGAGAAAAATCTCAAATATTTTTATTGTGCAAAGTTGTAAAGACAAAACTGAATAATACATGCATAAAACCATGTTGGTGTTGCTTTTTAACACTAGCCCCTCAAGCCTGGCAATAATGTTGTTTCCCATTTGAAGAACTTGGTTTGTTATTCTGCATTTTACCCGTGCCTCTGACTGCTGGAGTGTGGAATATATTACAGTCATGCATGCTGTCAGTACCAGCTGGTTCACGGCTTGTTTCACTTGCAAGGCCCTGACCACAGCCTCGTCTGACCAAGTCAGGCTGCTTCTCAGACGGTACAAAAGGAAACAGAATTGCAGCAGTCGGTCTGGTGTGTGTTAAGCTGTGGCTAACCCCAAAAGACTGGCCATTTCTTTATGTCCGCTGCTTTGAAAACAAAGTGGACTATTTCAGACGCAACGGACTAGTCAGTGGGAGGTGATTGAGGGTCTGTTGAGTTTTTATTTTCATTTGAAATGTGATTGAAATATCCCTGATTCAGCCTCTCAGCTAAATGCACTAATGTTAGCATGGTTTGCACTGTTTGTACATCACATTTACTGTGCTTATTTGTGGCATACCGGTGTAAAGGTCATGACAAAATTCGTACTTAAGGAAGAATTTCAACTGGTATTCTGGATTAACTGGTATTCTGTTGCTTAAATATTGCTGCTTATACTACTAAAAGCAATCAAATAGGTTTTTACAAATATCGTCACGATGATCTGCGTCAACCGGCTCACTGACAGGATTACAGTCCCTTTCGTTTAATTGCTTATGTATGACACACCTAGATGGTTCTGATATAGTGTCCACTTTTCCAGCTGACAAAGTTGAACCAGACAAATTGAACATAGTAGATTTTTGTGTGACTGGATTGTTAATTTGTGTCATTTTACATGCAGTGTGCTCCTCATGTCATAATTAATCAGCCTTGTTTTCTCTGTGTGAAGGTATCTGCGCCAGTCATCAGTGATGAGCCTGCCGAAACTGCAGCATCCCAGAAGAGAGAGGAAAGGCTGAGAAAATTCAGAGAGCTTCATTTTAAAAGGGTGAGATAAAAAACACAATTTCATAATCGTCTCTGCAATAATTGCAGTCAATCGCCTATCGCTTCCCTCCTCACACTGCATGCCAAATGACAACTAGCGAAGCTAAATTCAGATCCTGAAGTTCATTCGTCTACAACCAAATCAGGCTTAAACATGGCCTACAGTCGCACAGTGTATGCCTGGCTTAAAGAGAACATATGCAGATGGCCGAACAACTCATGTATTGTTAATCCTTTGAACCCACTGGCAGTATTTTTGCACTCCATCTTCTCAATTCAACTACTCTGGAACTGCTTACTTTACAAAAATGAGACAGACGTCATAACAATCAGTAGCACTTACTCTTTCCAAACACCTTGGTGATATTGCTGCGTGGCAAAGTAACAGCAGGTAATCTGGTTTGGAAAAGACATCACACATTGAGCGCTTCATTATCATGAAATCAAGAGGAGACAAAATCAATAAAAAATATAAAATATCCCCTAAACCAATGGAGCTCAAGGAAAGTAAGTTGAACTAAGGGGTTGGTGCCATCCTATTTTTATACAATTTTACTTGATGGGTTTTTTTGCTACTTTATTTGTATAGTCCTCTATAGATTAACTACTGATGTTTAACATGTTAACTGTTAACAGAGTATCTGGTGAAAAATTATTAACAGGGTTAGCATTAGAACCAGAAGCAAAGTTAAAGGGGAATTCAAAATTTCTCCATAGTTGCATGACTAAGATGTATTTTGGGTTTTTCAGATGTATATGAGTCATTCAGAGCGGTTTGATATGAAATGCAAATAGAGAAACTTACCAAGTCAGTATTATTCACAGCAGTAGTGATTGGGATCAGATGTCAGAAAACTTTAATGCCTGTAAAAGCTCTTTCACAGAATGTAATTATAGGAAATGGTTACAAATATGGTGCCTGACACCCGAGGCTTTGGTTTTTGATTATTTTGAGGTTTTTGGCCTAAAATGCACTTTTTCTATGCATGTCAGAGACGTACTTACATTTGGGTGTTGTAAGGCAAAATAGTGCCCAAAAGTTTGTATTTTTTTAAAGATTTACCAATCCTTTGCCATTATCAACATTATATATAAAACTCAGAAGTCGCATGTAGCTTTAGGAATAATATATAAAATAGCTATATTTGTGTTGTAGTCATCTTGACCCCCCTGGTTCCCGTCACCACCACTGTAAAGAAAACCTGATTAAGTAAGTTTCTGTACAATGAACCGTTTCACATCAAACTGCTCTGAATGGCTTTGCTTTATATAGTCTACATTACCTTTAATGTACAGGATTAGATCTGGGATAAGGTTTAGGTTTTGGAGTGTGGTGAAGGTTAAGCTTAGAGTAAGCAGTAACATTAGGGTTAATGGAAAGTTCGAAAGGTCAGTGTTAAATAAGCATCTGCAGTGGACTGTCCAGATAAAGAGATACCGATGAGTGTGTTAAGTAGTGTATATTTTTTATAAAGTAAACTGAGCAGTTTTTTTGGTTTGTTTTTTTTTATATTTATAGAATGAGGCTCGTAAGCTGAATCATCAGGAAGTGGTAGAGGAAGACAAGAGGCTGAAGCTTCCCTCAAACTGGGAGGCTAAGAAAGCCCGACTCGAGTATGAGCTCATGGTGGATGCAAAGAAAAAGGTAGGCTGATTGGCTGGATGGCATCCTGAATTTTCAGCACCAATTACAGTGCATTTCCACTGTGGTACATTCATTATTAAGTGCCATCAAGCCCATTCCGAACCCGGAGACCATATGGATGGTGTTTCTCAAGAAAATCCTGTCTTTGGTTTCGGTCTTTAGGCTTCTGAATTGCCTCTTCATGATTCCACTGATTGTATCCAGCTCTGTTTTCTTCAACTGTTCTCAGCATAATGGTCTTTTCCAGTAAATTGGTTCATCTCGGAAATGTCTCAAATAAGAGCCTTAGTTTGGTTATCTGGGCTTTGTGTGAGAGTGAGGCTTGATTTGCTCGAGGAACCATTTGTTTGTTTTTATTGCCATTCAGGGTTCTCTCAAAAGTCTTCCCCAACACCAAAGTTCAAAGGCATCTATATTTTTTCTTGTTTCTCTTGTTTATTGTCCAGCTTTCACACCCATAAAGAACCACAAAGAAGACCATAGTGGAGCCAGTTCTGATCTTTGGTTGTAGAGACAAATCATTGTATTGAAAATCTTGTCAAGCTCCTTCTTCTTTCTTCTGCAAAATGCCAATCTGTGTGGTTTTTTTTAAGTGCTGGATCCTTTGTTGTTAGTAATTGATCTGAGTAGGTGAAAGCTGCCCACTGTTTCCACATCTTGTCCATATGTAGGAAAGTTAGTTGTCTTTCCTGTTGTCAGAACCTTAGTCTCCTTCATAGTGAGATGCAGATCCTTCAGCTTCAGCTTCAGTGTTCTTCAGCTTTCTACATAAGGACCTTCAGGTCTTCCAGATTTTCCCCTATGAGTGTTGTATCATCTGCATTGTTGTTTCTTCTTGAATCCTCGATCATCTTCCTCCAGTCCTGCTCCTCTCATTACATGTATGGTACATTATGTGTAAAGTACTTTGCTGCTGAGAAACACAACAACCTTAACAGTTCCTATGTATCAGATCAGGAGTCAGGAGTTCAGATGTCAGTTGGTTTGGTGCATCCCTGTTAGCGATTAGCCCATGATACTTATGACTGGTTGGCGTCAGAAATAGCCACGTTCCCTCATTTGAGGACAAAAATGGTCCTGAATTTCAGCCAGTGAGGGCAGAAAAACACCCATTAATGTATTATTTCCTTATTATTAAGCACAGCATTGGCTTCTGTGTTTATTACTTCAAAATCACATACCTTTCATCAGTTCTGAGAATTGATATTTTTCATGTGATAACTTTACCACGAAATCTGGGCAGTGTTAACCTTTACATCAAAGACGCTGTTTCACTGTAAGCCTTGTTGAGCTTTACAGTTCAGTCTTATGCGATGGAATTAAGTATAACATTTGTTGTGTTTTTATATGTATCACCATGCAACACTGAGTTTTTCAGAATCTGGCCTGATACAGCTTTTGGAATAGGAATCTTCCATAATATAGAATCTTGCATAGTATAGAAGACCATCTAGTCTTACTGCATTATCATGCATTTCATGCCCTTTTTTATGTATGTGTTGAATTGGAGTAAAAATGTAAGACCAAGTGCAGTTTTTTTAAGAGGTTCATAGACAGTTCAAGACGTTTTTTGCCAGTAAAGGTTCTACATTTCCTGTGTCACTCGTTTACAAAGTGTAGTGATAGTTTGGAGTCAGCTTTCGGTCCGCTATGTTTGCACAAGTCCATGTTGTAAAACAAGCTTATATTCCTGTATTAGGAATGTGCCGAACGTGGGGAGGACTACGAGCGTGTGAAACTGCTCGAGATCAGCGCCGAGGATGCTGACCGCTGGGAGAAGAAGAAGAAAAAGAAAAACCCTGACCCCGGCTTCTCAGGTAAGGTCATCTAATTTAACTCCAATTTCAGTCCAGATCCACTGAGGGAAAAAAAAGCTATCATTAAATGATCGTCATCGAATTTTAATGTAGCATTCTATGTAGCATTGTAAGTGGGAATGTAGCATTTAGCCGCTAAAGTATTGGCAAAGATGGGCTAAATCATTTAAATACTAGTTATTCCCAGGGGGCGGTGGGGGGCTAACTTTAGATGCAAGTATTTATAAAGTTGAAAGTCAACTACAAGTATTACCTGTCAGTACTTTTATGGTACTGACCACATTACTTCAGTACTGCAGAGTACTGAAACTGTGTCATTCCACACTAAATTTCAGTACTGATCAGACTCATCAGTGTCAGTAAACCAGTAAACATGCTTACACTGCTGATTGGATGCCTACCTTGCAGTCCGCCTGTTATTAATATCAACTCTTCTTGTTTGGTCTGTAATCCACTGTGGTCAGTAATAACACCCACTTCCGGCACCTCACACTCATTTCTGGTTTAAGCAACTCCTGCTTTTGTTTAGTAATTTACATTCACATTTATGCATTTGGCAGACGCTCTTACCCAAAGGGACTTACAATTCAATTACATTACAGAGGTAGACAAATGTAGTATTAGGAGTCTTGCCCAAGGACTTTTATTGGTGAAGCATGGTGTGGTTGCCCCGGTGGGGTAATAGAACCTTACTCTGCTGCATATGAGGCAGCGGGATCACCCACTGTGCTGCACCAGCCGTGACAACAACTGTTTAAAAGAACACCCCCAACAATTAAAAAGATGTCAGAAAGATGCTAAGATATTGCTTAGGAATCGGTATCAAAGCCAAGATATTGGTATTGGTAATAGTAGTTGCATAGACTAGTCGACCACACCACTTATAATCGCACTAATCTGTGCTCTAGGCAGCAGCGGCGAAATACAGCAGCAGTGTAAACTGCAGTAAACAGGCAGGAGGAGAGAACAGAAATCAGTTTTTCTTCTAAACACAAGAACAAAGTCCTTCGTTAGTGTGGAAATACTACACGAGATGAAATTTCCTCTGTAAGCTGTGCTGTGATACAGGCTCGTAAGCCAGACCGCATAGGCTTCGAGAACTCTGATCAAAAAGAACCATTTGACAAACATAGAAGATGACCAGTCACTGTCTGTTACTGCTTGAGTGGAAGTATTCTGTCTGTATTTCTACTTGAGTAACGACCTTTGATGCTTCCAGAGTTTTTTTTTCCCAAATTTCTGAATAATTAAGTCCTTGAGATGTGTTGATGTGAAATGGTTCATTATAGAGAAATGTACAGATTTCTTTACAGTTCCTTTCACCATCTTACAGTTGTGGTGATAGGAACAAGGGTCACAACACCAATACAGCCATTTAATTTACTATCCAAAACCACCAGGAGTTTTCTTTGGGGTTTCTTTGATATTTTAATGTATTAAATGGGACATAAATGTTGAACAAACTGTAGAATTCCCCTTTAAGTACACTTAATTATAACTTGTACTTTAATTTAAGGTCTAGTTCAGCCACTTCACAATACACAAGCCTTATTCATGTACCTGAACCAGTAAATACTAGTTCAGATATAATTCTGAACTAGTGTTTGTTGAGAAATGTATCAGGAGAGGCTAAAAATGGGGCTAAAATCTTGTCGTGTGCACCCATCTTACGAGTGGATTTGCTTATACTCCATCTAAAAGCATTTGGGTTGAACTGAGAGTTACTCGTTCAGCATGAGTCATTATTTCTCTCCCAAGTATGGCGGCCATGTGGCGAGATTAAAGGATGTAGAAATTAAACCATGCAGAGCTTATTTTTTGACACCTGTTTGTGATCGGTTCTGGTAATTAGGTAATTACAGTCTGCCCTCAATCTCTCACTCCTCTGTCATCACTCTGGCTTTTATGTGATCATTTCATTCCTTCATTCCTTTTCTTATGCTTTCTTTTCTTTCTGTGTTCTCTCCACAGGATACGCAGAGGCCCAGCTGAGGCAGTACCAGAGGCTCACCAAGCAGATCAAGCCTGATATGGAGGGCTACGAAAGACAGAGAGAGGAATAGTAAGCATTAGAACCTACAAAATTACATTTAGCCTAATACGTCTCTTGTAATGTATTAATAATACTGTATTAACACTTAAGAGTCACAGGTTTCGCAAGCATATATCGCTGTTGTCCGAAGAAAACCTTGTATCTCCAAAAAGAAAACTTTAGAGGACAAGGGAAAAACCTACTTTACTTTTAATGTAAGTCAATGAAACCAGACTTTTTTCCAAGTCATGAAATTTACAAACAATGTAAAAGACAACAAGTATTTTCAAATGATGTCAAAAACTGAAAACCAACAAAAATGGAGATAGAAGGTTTTCTTCCAATAGCAGCAATATATATGTATGTATGTATGTATTGTATTATTTCTCATTCGCAGCTCATTAAAACAAGTGGACAAATTCTGTTGAAAGCGGGGATGCTACACTTTCAGTCCTTACCATTTTTATGTTTTGTGGTTTTTTTTGGATTTAGTGAAAAGTAATTGCTGTGTAGTTTTGTGCAGAAAGAAAAGCGTCTTACATTTTTGCTGTTTTTGTCACGTTTTGATATCGAAACAAATGAAAAAGTCAGAAATGCAGACGTAAACCAATACATAGTGTAAAATGAATGTAAATGTATTCATTTTGCGACTAGGTAATTATGTAATAACATAAATAAGCATGTAACGTGCAATGTTTAACGTTTTTGAGGCAGTTTAATATCTATGCGAAAAAAGTTGTGAATAATAAAAAAATGAATAAATGTAATCAGCTATAGAATTATGCATTCACATACAAATTATTAGCTACTGTAAAATGCATGTATAGAATATGACAATAATTCTTCTGTTAATTATGTTGGGTTAAATATTTCTAATACTTGAGTATTTTTACATTATGCTGGTATTTGTTTCTCTAACAATTATTTGGAAGCTTCATCTTTTTCCAGCCATGAAAATAAAAGAATAGACTACAAGACATTTCATCATCAAAGGCCTTTAAATAGAATATTGTTTCATATATATTTATATATATTATTCATATAAACAACTCAGCCTGCGTGTCATCATCACTGCTGTCATGATGGTGATAAACAAAGCGATAATTATGGTCAGAATTAAGCAATATATATATAATAGGCTTCAGCCTGGCTATTAATATACTGTTGCCACCTACTGGATGTTCTTGTTTTTAAGGGTGATTTGGAGAATGTGTATTCTGATACCATTATTATCTGAATTGAGCTTTAGACAATAATCTTCCTTTGCCTGTGTGTTTTCTCAGTGGTGAAGATTTCCACCCCACCTCCAACAGCCTGATTCACGGAACCCACGTACCTTCTAAAGAGGCCATCAACCGCATGCAGGAGGACGTGGAGAAACAGTAAGTTGGGGGGCGAGTGGGGGGGGTGATCTGTATACAGAATGTGTTTCAGACAGCGGTAGTTGCGTGTGTGAGGATCTGGGACATCTCCCATATTTCTTAATGGGCCACAATGGGCTTAATGTGCTGAATGAGCTTCCCAGATAAAACTCAATGATCTTATCTACTGTGAAGGCACTTCGGGCCCTTTTGTATCGCAAACTCCATCAACCCTCTCATTTCTCTCGTTTTCCACAGTTTTTTTCTGTTAGGCCTGCATTCTCAGATCTGCATCTGGTGGTGTGTGTGTGTGTGTGTGTGTGTGTGTGTGTGTGTGTGTGTGTGTGTGTGTGTTTAATACATTGTGTTGGTTTTATACAGGGTTCCCGCAGATCCTTAAAACGTCTTATGTTTTTAAATAGATTGTCTTTATCTGTTAGAGGTATTACATTTTAAAACAAAGCATAAAGTCTGGGTTAAAAAGAGAATATTAAACTAATTCATAATATTCTGCCCACCAGAAATTTCCAGCTGACCGATAAAGGATGACTAAATCGCAAAGTTAAGCACACTGAAAAGACAGCGCAATGATCATGCATCTCAAAACAAACCATATTTGGTTTTCAAACAATTGGTTTGCATAGACTAGACATTAATACAAGCCATATTTGAGTTTGTGTCTGGTGGTGTGCTGTAGAAATGGTATGTTTCCTTTGTTGAGGTCTTTAGAAATTATTTAATTTGACTTTAAAAATCGCCCAGCAGCCCTGTTATAGCGTGTAGCTTTAAATGTTTTCTAGTGCTCTCTTGTGCCTGTGAAAAGCCAACTTTTGTAAAGTGTTTTTAGTACAAATGACAAATGTTATATTTGTTGTTTGCAGCAACTTAACTTATTAAAGACTAAACAGGCTTATGGTAAACAAAACTACAAACGTAAATATTTGAGACTACACCTGTGATAGTACTACTTTGGGAATATTGCCTAAGCCCACCCATTTTAACCCTTAGTTGTGATGTCAGCACTCATCAGCACTCAAAACTCAAAAAATGGTTTGGCAGAAAGTCAAATGTACATCATTTTTCATCTACCCCAGATGTATTTGATCAGCCATGACATGTTTGGTGTGCAAATTTTGCTTCTTTAGTTTAGAACTGGAGCTACCAGACTAATGTTGCTAACAAATAATGTAAGTCAATAGTCACCCAAATCATCTCAGTAAATATGTCTTCAGAACTTCTCTCAGCCTGCTAAAACTACATCCAGAGCTTCATTAATGTGCTGCAGACTTGTTGATGTGGTTTAGGACACAGTTCAACTTATTGTGAACTATGAAAATTAATGAAAGTTTACCATGTAGTTGAATGCAGCAGGAATCCAATGTAGACAACAAATGTTGTGCAGAATTCTGACTCTTCTTTGTGTGCATGTGCGTCACGCAGACATATGGATGCTACATGTTCATGGTTTCTTTTATCAATAACTTCATTTTCAAACTGTGTATGTGTGGCTATAAATAGAAACACCCAAAAATACAGATGTAATGTAGAGTCTGTGTTTCTGCATGACATGCATGAACATAAAGGGGAGTCTAGGCTGTTGTTTCTTAGCAACATTAGCCCCGTAGCTCCAGTGCTAAAATAAAGAAGCAAAATTTGAACTCTGAAAATGTGTTGGCTGATCCCCCATATCTGGGGTGAGTGGATTTATTTATTTTTTTATTTTTATATAGGGGGCTAAACAAAACAAAAAAAAATTTAAAAACCATGTGCTTTTAACAATTGTTTGGAGAAAAAAGCAGTCAGGTCATTTATTTAGGCAAAAACTGCTATTCCTACCAAGGAAGACACTTTATTGAACAAGAACCTTATTGTTGAAACTAAATATACCCAAAGCATTAGCACATAGTGTCTTTATGCTAACAGTTTTTTGCAGACCGTTTTTCTTAATTAGAAAGTTTGGTAACACTTTCTATGAATGTCGCATTTGTAAGCATCTATAAACACATTTATAACATGTTATAATGTATTCATAAGGCATTATAAACATGGTTATAAATATTTATAAAAAAGAATTACACTGAATTACACTTTATAGCCATGTTTATTATACATGATGAATTGTTTATATAATGCATTATAAATAGTGTTAATAACATGTTATAATGTCAGGGCCAAAGAAGTCAGTCCCAGCTTGGAGAGCATAAAGTAAAGACAAATACCAAGCTAACGGTGGTGTACATTACCTTTCCCACACTGGGTAAAACACTGATGGCAGCTCTAGTTTAAACTCTGACATTTGAAGCCTGTAATGTGCTTTATTGTGAATGTTTTAGTGTTTCAGTAAATCCTTCAGTAAATACTTCAACTTGAAGCCTCACTCTTAACACTGGAGGAGGCTTTAGTACAGTACGCTTCACTTTACTTAGAGCGGACAAATACGACTTATGAGCTCTTATAATTTGTTATGAACAGTACTTATAATGTATCAATTCATAATGCATAATAAACATGGCTGTAATGTATAATGCATTTTTATAAATATTTATAGCTATGTTTATAATGCCTTATGAATGCATTACAACATGTTCTGAATGTGTTTATAGATGCTTACAAAGGTGACATTCATAGAAAGTGTTACCGAAAGTTTCTTAATTGGTGAAAATAAATAAAGTCCAAAAAGGCTAGACCCAAACTTTTGACCAGCACTATGCACATTGGATGTGCTTTTTACTCATTAGCAGAGTCGGAAAGTTCTGAATAGCATGCGGCAATTAAGATAGATGTATTTACATTATGGTGCCTCCCATTCTAGCCACTTCTGTGTCCTCAGTTCTGTATGTTTATCTCCTGCTATGGATGTGTAGATGCGTATCGTACAGATGTGTAGATTAGCGTGTGGGAGGACGTGCTCTGCAGTAGATTAGACTCTTTCTGCTCTTCTGTTTTGAGGGAGCTGCTTTTAGCTCCTGTGAGAGATTATACAGGGCTGTGGCTGCCAGAGCATGACGCACAACCACACTTTGAAGATGTTCAAACAAACTGTGTGTGCGTGCGCATGGTTAAGGAGGTGTATCTTACTGAGCCTGAGGACTGACACTGTTAAAGTCATAAAGTCAAACATTAGACTTGTAATCCACAAAGAAAGAGGATGTGTTTGTGTGTGGTTAAGGAAGCAGAGGAGGACGGATATAAAAGTTTTTGAATTGGCCACTCGGGTCACCAAGGCGATGAATCTTGTGGCCAAACTGAAAATTTTGTGACCATGTTTTTCGTGTTTGGACTGAAAGATCTAACTACAGTCCCACAGGAAGGAAAAAACAATTAAGTATTCAGAGCTTAGATAATTACAGGGATTTTGTTATGATATATTTAGAGCCAAGGCATTCATTGAGATAGTAATAAGCTCAATATATACAAGTCATAATTTGAGGTATGTTCTGTTGGGAGGTGTCTGTCCTAAACTTAAACTTAAACCTAAAGTAAAAAATAATACTACAGATCTACAGGACCAGGGTTGCTATCCTCTGCTGTAGGGGATGTGTTTTCACTTTAACAAAACAATTCATTTCAAACTCCCATTTGTATTATATATCGCTGTTGTCGGAACAAAACCTCATATCTCCCAAAGGGTAACTTTACAGGAGAAAGAAAAAACCTTCTTTACTTTTAATGTAAGTCAATGGAACCAACATTTTTTACAAGTCATTTTGGGCCATTTATTTTGGTCTGTTCATCATGACATTGTAAAGGGCAACAGGTACTTCCAAATCATTTAAAAAACTGGAAAACGACAAAAATGGAGAAACAAGGTTTTGTTCCGACAGCAGCGATACGTAGGGCCACATGTTCTGATATTTGTATATAAACAAGCTTGATGGGGGTGTTTCTCTTAATTCTTTTGTGTTCTTTACAGAATTGAGAAACGTTCCAAATACAGCCGCCGCAGAGCGTACAACGATGACGCTGACATCGACTACATCAATGAGAGGAACGCCAAGTTCAACAAGAAGGCTGAGCGCTTCTATGGCAAATACACCGCGGAGATCAAACAGAACCTGGAGAGAGGGACAGCAGTGTAAACACCAGTACTGTCACCATGGACTTCATTCTTCTTCTATATGGCAAGCAGTTGTTAGATAAAGGGGACAAACTTCTGTTTTCTTGTGTGGTTTTAGTCAGCGTACCTAAACTATAGAAACTACTATGGCCTGTGTATTATTTGATATTATGAAAGATGCCTATTATACTTATTATTTTGATATGAATGCTGAAGGTGTCGAGTAAAATGGATGCTTACTTTCTCTCTGTTCTGTTGTGTGAAACCTTCCTGCTACACATTTTTTGAATAAAAGAAATTTCCATTTTTAAACACGAGCGTTCTTGTGGCCAGGCGTGGGGCTGTGTAAGAGAGGCAGAGGGAATGGCTGAGCGTGAGAAGCCGGCGCTATCTTTTTTCTTCAGGGCGTGAAGAGGCTATGAGTTAAGGCTCATAGCCTTTGGAAAAGTGTCAGCGTGTAGGTACTGCGGGAGTAAACAATTCGGCAATTCAATTAGGCCATTATCTATCTCCCCATCAGGTCTAGATGCCTCAGAGCAGCAAGATATCAGAGGGAGAGACTTGTGACCTGAACCAGCTTCAAAGTAGACTACAGCTGTTCCCAGGCTGCCTTGATTTGTTCACGCCCATGTCAGTATTGAAGTGTCCAAGCGCCACCTAGAGGAAAAGATCGGAAATGCTGATTCTATTACAAGGTGGTAACAATGCCTTGAGAACTGACATCCTCAAAGGTGGAAACCAAGAGATACCCAATTGTTTAATATTCTGCAGTCATCCAAAGAAGTGAGAAATGACCACTGCTACTCCAATCACTTCATTAGTTGTACCACTGGGTGATACTTCATCCTGATCAGGCCTCATGAGGTTTCAGTTTAAACCCCCCTCCAACCTCTTTCGCTGTGGGAGTCGAACAAGCAGCACGCTGGCCCCATCTGCATATAAATGAATGTTATGAATTAGGCCTGGTGGGGTTTGGAGACAATTGGTTTTTCGGGGGCTGCTTTCAAAGCCCTGGTGTGTTGGGAATTAGAGCCATGCCTTGTTTATGATTTCTCTCTTTTGTTCTCAGAGGCAGTATCGACTCAAAGAGGGGGTCCACACAAATTAATCCCTTTGATATATGTGATCATGACGCTGAAAACGAGATGGAGTCAGAAACCAGAAAGTGTATGTAGGAGCAGGTTTAGAAATCTAGTGTTTGCAGGTAAGACAAGTAGTTGCATCACAGGAAGGATTTGTGTAAAAGCCACATGGTAATTCAACATACAGCGTAGATCTTCCTTCAGCCTTCTTAAAGCACTTGTCACAGCCAAAGTGAGTCACTGAGGACGGTCAAACTTTTTTGTTTGGAGGCTTTTAAAGGAATACTTTCAACCTAATCTGTGTCTGCTGCATCCATAGTGAATGAATGACTACTTAACAACTGCCCGTTGACTTCAGTTGACTTAAGTGTGTTGTGAGTCAACAAATTTTCTGTTCTTTTCCTAAGTACAGGAAAATGCGAAATTATTGTCGGTGGTAATTTGGCTGCACACTACAGGTGTGGCAGGTGGACTATACTGGGGAATCTCTTTAAGAAGCTCAGTAGAAAACAGTGGAACTTTGATCTTAGACTAAAACCCTTCAAAATGTATCTAGAACACAGTGAAACAGTAACAGCTTGGACATCCTTTTACAAAATCATTGGCTTTAATATGGAGTTTTGCCACAAGATTCTGGAGTGTGTCTATGGGAATCTGTGTTCAGTCAAAAGAGCATTTGTGACGTCAGGCACTGATGTTGGCTGAGAAGGCCTGGCTCACAACCGACATTCAAATCCATACCAAAGGTATCCAGTGGGGTTAAGGTCAAGGCTCTGTGCAGGCTGCTGGAGTTCCTCCACACCAAACTCTTTACCAAACTCTTTACGGAGCTCGCGTTGTGCACAGGGGCTCAGTCATGCTGGAACAGGAAAGAACCTTCCCCAAACTGTTGACACAAAATTAGAAGCATATAATTGCTTTGTATACCATAGCATTAACGTTACCCTTCACTGGAACAAAGTGGTCCAAACCCTGAAAAACAGCCCCAGATCATTATCCCTCCTCCACCAAACTTTGCTGTTGGCACTAAGCATTGCAGTAGGTAGATTGACCCATAAGACTGCTAGATATAGATGCGTGATTCATCACTCCAGAGACCACGTTTCCACTCCTCTACAGTCCAGTGGGAGCGTGCTTTACACCACTCCAGCAGACACTTGGCAGTGTGCATAGTGATCATAGGCTATGGAAACCCATTTCATGAAGCTCCGGATGCACAGTTCTTGTGCTGATGTTGATTCCAGAGGCAGTTTAGAACTGTGTAGTGAATAATGCAGCAGTGGATAGGCAATTCTTACGTTTCGTACTTTAGCACTGTGCAGCCCTGCTCTGTGAGTTTGCCTGGTTTGCCGCTCTGTGGCTGATCTGTGGTTTACCGAGATGCTTCGATTTTACAATAATAGCACTTACAGTTGACCGGGGCGGATCTAGAAAGGCAGAAATTGCACAACTGGCTTGTGGTAGAGTCATCCGTCATCAGTTTACAGACTTTATGACCCATTTTGCAAGTGTTTGTCTATTGAGTCCGCATGGCCATGTCTTGATTTTGTACACTTCTTAGCAGTGTGTGTGTGGCTGAAACACCCAAACTCTATAATTAGGAGGTGTGTCCTTCTTCTGACCATACTTCTGGCCATATAGTGCATCTAGGAGTTTGATTTGGGCCATACACTTTAACCCCTTCATTCAGCTTTATAGCAAGTCAGCTATGATATCAAGACACCACTTTATTCTGCCATTACAATGTTCACTATCAGTAGTTCAATTTATTTGCCAATTTACTCTCCAACCTTGAGGTGTTATGAATATAAATGGGGGAAATTATAAACATCAGAGGTGTTGCAAGCACAACCCCGTTTCCAAAAAAGTTGGGACACTGTGCAAAATGTCTGTGAAATGTCTGTCACTGCATCCACAAATGCAAGTGAAAACTCTAAAACGCAAAGAAGAAACTCTATATAAACAGGATCCAGAAACGCTGCCACCTTCTCTGGTCCTGACCTCAATTAAAATGGATTAAGGGGAAGTGGAAAAGTGTCCTGTGGTAAAACGAATGAACATTTGAAATTCTTTTTTGGAAATCATGGATACTGTGTCCTCTGGGCTAAAGATGACTCAGCTTGTTATCAATGCACAGTTCAAAAGACAGTATTCATGATGGTATAGGAGTGCATTAGTGCACATCTGTGAAGGCACCATTAATGCTGAATGATATATACATGTTTTGGTAACATATGCTGCCATCCAGAATGAAAAATACAACAAATGAGACCCTGAACTGTTGAGCAGCTGAAATCCTATATCGAACAAGAAAAGGAAAACATTCCACTTTCAAAACTAGAGCAGTGTCTCCTCAGTTCCCAAACGCTTACAGAGTGTTGTTAAAAGAAGAGGTGATGAACCACAGTGGTAAACATGCCCCTGTCCCAACCTTTTTGGAACGTGTTGTTGGCATCAAACTCAAAATGGGCATATAATTTTCAAAAAATAATAAAATCTCTCAGTTTCAACATTTGATGTGCTGTCTTTGTACTATTTTCAACATAATATAGGGTTTAAATGATTTGCACATCATTGCATTTTGTTTTTATTTACATTTTGCACAGTGTCCCAACTTTTTTTGGAAATGGGATTGTAAATGTATGTACTGTCTTTTCTAAATATCTAAATTCAAGTTTCCTCAAGATTGGGCAAAGGAATGGCCTTGGGCTTTCTTTCACTTGCTCAGATCACTTGACATTCACCTGTACTGCTAGCTAAGGATAAGCATTAGGGTTGGATCATCAGGTTCTACATAAGCTCATTAGCTTCAATTCCATTTCACTCTGTTCACCTGTCATTTAAACATCTCTCTTGGTTCCATATAGAGAGAAACATATTTTTTTTGGCTGCTGTTCTGTCCTGAGCGTGTGGGGTGTAGATTGATGGGCTTTTTGAAGGTGTTTATGTTCAATGGGCTCCTAAATGGTGATGGATGCCTTCACTGGTAAAATCGTTAAAGAACGCTGGGACAGGCGCCTGTGAGAGGAGATTACACTCATGTGATGGGCTCAAATAGCAGCCTGGCATCCGTGGCATTAAGGACAACTAATTAGACATCAAATGGAGTTTGCCTGTGAGGGGTGACTCGTAGCATTTTTCTCAAGCCAAATTCAAAAGACGTCTTGTGTGTCCCGAACAATGGGCTCCTTTATGTGCATCTGTAAACATGCTGCGATTTTTTTTTTTCCCCAACTCTTTTTCTCCTTCTCTCTTTTCTCTCTGCGACTGTGAGGATGTGTCAGGATTCTTCTGTGGCTTTGCCAGGACGTTCCAGATTTAGGGCTTGTGGAATCTCCCTGTGGCGAACTGAAGGCCTAAGAGAAGATGAGGGCCGGAGGATGTGTGTGTGAGTGTGTGTGTGTGTGTGTGTGTGTGTGTGTGCGTGTGTGTGAGTGTGTAACTGTGTTTGTGTGTTTTGTACATTGTCCAGCCATGTCGTTGTGCACCTCTCTGCACATCACTAGTTGTCTGCGTACCTGTCTGCTCCTAAAGTAGATACATTAACATTCAATACTTTGTCATATAAAACCAATTTTGTTGCAGATTCATGTTTGATCCGAATATGATGCTGGTCTGCAGCTTCAAAGGCTTCAAATAATATCCATCTGAAGAATGTATATGAAAAGTAGTGACCGGAAGTAGAGACGGAAATCTTGACCTGAAAGTGCTTTAAATAGGTACTTTGTCATTGTGTAATTAAATAACTTAAATGATAAGGAAGCATGATTCATCACTCCGGAGACCACATTTCCACTCCGCTGGAATCCAATGGCGGTGTGCTTTACACCACTCCAGCAGACACTTGGCAGTGTGCATAGTGATCGTAGGCTTGTGTGCAGCTGCTCAAATCCATCTCATGAAGCTCCCGGCTCACAGTTCTGGTGCTGATATTGATTCCAGAGGCAGTTTAGAACTCAGTAGTGAGTGGTGCAACTGAGGATAGGCAACTTGTACATGCTACGCATGTCAGCACTGCGCAGCCTAGTTGACCAGGGCAGATCTAGCAGGGCAGCAGGGCAGAAATTGCACAACTGATTTGTGGCAGAGGCATCTGTCATCCTGTTGACAGTGCGATCCATTCTAGTGCCAGTGTTTGTGTTGAGTCTGCATGTCCATGTCTTGATTTTATACACTTCTTAGCAGTGTGTGGCTGAAATACCTGAACTCAATAATTAGACAGGGTGTCTA